GGAAAGAGCACACTAAAGGAAAGGGTTACACCTTCTTTGCAAAACAAGCCACCTAAGGCCAGAATAAACATTTAGAAGTGTAACACAACTCTGAAGAAATCAAAAGCAGGAGGTAAACTTTTTCTAGAAAAAAGAGATGTTCCAGTACAACAAGCGCCTGGTGATATATTCAGTATTTACAGGGACGTAACTGAAAAATCTATTTTCTATTTGATTACAACATAAAAATGAGCACGGCTTTAAATTCAACCCCACTGCATTCTTTACCTCTGTCTGGACGAGGTAGTTGCGCTGTGTCCTGATGTGTTTCAGGAAACCCAGGACATTAACTGTGCTTTTGTCTTTTATCTGTTGCAGCATACTGTCTATCACAATATAGGTACCAGTTCTGCCAACACCAGCACTACAGAAGACATAAAAGAAACTCATGTAACAGAGCCGGACCAAAGGAAATGTTTACAATAGCAAAAGAGAACTAATCAAGATCAAATATTCCTGTCCACAAACTTGACTTTCCATGCAAGCACCAACCATGAAAGTCCCTAAACAAAATATTCTGGTTTTCTGGGAATTTTATCTGGCAAATTTAAGTCCTTAGATACACTGTGATATCAGCATTCCCCCAAATGTTTTATTTCCTCCCCTCTACGGGTATCTCTGCGCTGCAAGATGAGGATGTGAGTGTAGCACAAGCCATTATGCTTGCGCCAGTGAAGCTGCCCGGCGCTGCTGGCCACAGCAGTGAGGATGGAGCTGCCGTGGAGCCTGGATTTTCACACTCTGGCTGTTTGTGCACGTTGTCCTGTCTCCACTGCTGTTGTTACTGGCGTTGGCTAGAGGAAGCGTGTGCAGATCCACCCTGTGCCAAACCGCTTCTATGCCAGACCCGCCGTGGTTGCTGCAGGCTATGGGGCTGCCCTGGTTGGCTTCAGCCTTGAGGGAAGGCTGAGGCTTGACAGCCAGAGTGGAGCTGTAACGCGGCTCTGGAAACCCAAGAGGTACCAGCACTACGGCAAGGCAGAAGAGGGGCTTACCCTGTGAAGGCAGGATTTCTTGAAGGGGAGGAGGGTGGTCCTGGGCTCAGCATAGAAGGGGGAGAGGGGAACTGTTCACAGCTTTCCAATTTTTGCTCAAGAGGGAGCTCTAACTCTCAGCATCCCCTCCTCTTTGCTGTGGTGCTGCAGAGCCCCCTCACATGCAGTCTTTTGTGATGGAGACCACTTCCCTTTAAGCATTTAAGGGAAGCCCTCTGTTGACTGCAAGTGCTGGTGAATACGTGTGCAGTTCGGTGGTTCGCTGCGTGCAAGGAGAGCTCCAGGACTCCATGTATTCGCATGGCTGATTGCCAGCTAATGTGATCCTGCCCACCCACTGCTGCAAACAAGCTTCGAGCCAGGAACTGCACAGCCACATCAGTGCAACACTGAACAGCTCAGTAGCACGAAGCAGGGCTTCCCTAAAGCAACTGGGAAGCTTTTGCATTGGAGCCGGCTTGAAATGGTAAAGCAAAGCATGCTCATGTCTACCTGCACTCCGCGGGGCAGGCATACTCTTCCTGCGCTGTTAACGTATGTGTTTGTCTTAACTGGCATATAAGATGCACACTGCACGCTAGGGATGCTTGCCATGAAGTAGCTAATCACACTCATCATACCTGCAGTGCACAACCACTGGTCCCATGTCCGGGGTTCTGGCTGCAGAGGATCTCCGAACGAAGGTTAGCACAGGCAGAGCATACTCCGGCACACCCATGTCAGGCCACTGAGTGTAGTGATACTGAATAACCGTTCTCTCATTCTGCCGCCCTTTGGGATTTCCTTTCTGACCCTGCATGCAAAGCAAGCACAGCAAGAAGAGAAAGATCAGGAAAGGGAAGCATGGAAATACATTCAATCCCACTGGCTGGTTCAGCTGAAAAAGCGCCTGACTTTGACAGAAGAAATCTTCTCCTGCAGCTCTGCCTCCTGCTAGGTGGAGACAGAGTTCAAGGAAAAATACACACGGGAACAGAAAATAACAGCAACAACTGTGAAACTAAAGCAGCAGTGAACTTGAGAGAAAGAAATACAGGCCAAACCTTTCGCCAGGTTCCTTTGTAATCCTGGCTTTGCTTACCTATTTCCCATGCCCCTGCTACTTCAAGCTGTCTATGCAACAGTTGAGGTTTTGCTCCTGGGCAGCTTGCAGCCTACACAAGCCAGAAGGCATCTGCATGAGAACAGCAAAGGCTTTCACCCACCTTTTTCATCTTTGTGTTCCTGACTGTGAAGCGGCGCACAGTGTAGCAGGCATGAATGTTTGTGCTCTTCAGCGTGACTATAATGTTGCCGTACTCCTCGCTGTTCTCTGATGGCCAGTACTGATCGCATTTCCTCTGCGCAAAGAGAGAGCTTGGCTGAGGGTTTGCGCTGGTTCTTTATATATGCATTTAAAGCTTTTTAGACGAGTAAGACCATAGCTAGTAATGTATCCCTCTGTTATTTATATATTGCACACCGATATATATCATCCCCAAGCAATTTAAATTCTGCCCACGTGAGTCAGGGAAGTGGTAAGGAGCAGTTGCTAACAAATTAGAAATTCTCTTACCCTTCCTTTTTCAACAAGGTTTGTGATCATGACAATGATTCCAGTATTTTGTTCCCAAATCATCCTCCAAAAGTCTTCAAATGTAGACTTTAAAGGTCCCTGGGTAGCAATGTAGGCTTTTGCTTTGTTGTAACCCTTCAAAGAAAACCATAATGCCAAGTAAGATGAAAGCAGTATCACAGCAGACATATTAATAATTTAAAGGTAACAAAGAAAGGCGTCTTTCTCATTCAGGATACTGAGGAATTTGTAGCAAAACTATCAGGGGAAGTTGGAAAACACAAACAGTTTACAGGTAGCAGTACTTCCTCTTTGTGGAAGGATTCAGAGTTAGAGGAAAAAAACCAATTCAAATAACTTACATCAACATAATTAGCATTAATGTAGTCACTGTGCTTGGAATCTTTTCCTGGTAAAGGCCTTAGCTTCACCCTACTGTGATCATCTGCAGGATGAAAAACAGAGCAGAGAAGCATTAAGGCAACATTTTGCAGAAATGCGAGTAAACATCCTAGGTATTGGAGTACCCCTTATTAATAACCTATAGAAACTGGCTTTGGATTGGAGTCAAGGGGAAGACGGAAGTGTCTGCTCTTGGTCATCTGATCGTGGTTGCAGGCCTCAGGCTTCACATCTTGTGAAGTACCTGCTTCATGTTGGGACAACTTCTCTTTAGAGATCACGGGAGCTCAAGGAAGAGAACGATCTCTACGATCATCTACACTACGTAGTGTAGTGTGGTTCAAAGAGCCATGCCACCACACACGGTGCCATATGTAACACCATGCAGAGATGCCAGTTCAGCTCTTCTAGGCAGTAGAACTGCCTCGGCTTGGCTCGATGTGTGAGCTCCTTATCCTCCCCTTGGTGCTGCGTCAAGGCAGCTTTACTGGCCCTGGCAGCAGAGTGAGCGCCCTCACTCCTTCACCACCCTTATCGCCCCGAGAGCACAGACTCTCAGTCCTTAGCTCCTGTTTTCCTTGCGCCCAAAAGCCTGACTTCTGGCTTGAACGGAAGAAATGCAGGTCTTCCCCTGCTCTGGGGCAGCAGCACTGGACCATTAGGTGCTTCCAGCGCAGGCGGACACAAAACACAAGGGTTAACTAACTTTAAGCACAATAAGCTGGTTTCATTTGCCTTCCTTGACCACCAATAGAGGGAGACAGGTTCCTCCAGGGGCAATTTGGAGCACTTAAGTTCCTGCTCCAATTTCCCTCGAATGTTACTTCTCTCTCTGCGCCACAGAAGGAGCCTAGAGGGACCAGACATCTTTGTCTACAATCAGAGTTGGGACAACTGCAACGAGTTCCCTTGCCCAAAGCCACACAGCAGGTCTATTACAGATCCAGGAATCGGTCCTCAATCTGCACCTTGATCACTTCTGAGAATCTGCCAGAGACATGCATTTCCTTCCTATGCCATCAGAAACACTCAAGATTTATTGCAATGGTATCAGAGAATGAAGATAAACCTTGTGAGCTTTATATCAGTGCCTCTCCATCTTTTTTGCTAAACCACAGTGACTGCTGCATCTGCCATTCACTCGACATCAGAGAACAATATGGAAAAAGTTATCGCATCTCTGTTTCATACTTGCAATAATTTGCATTCTAGAGCAGAGCCCAGATTTGCAATTCTCAGAGGGATTCAGGCAAAGCCTGCACGGTGCTACAAAGACCATTGTTTGCCCAAGTCATACACACAGCAGAAGCAGTTTGAAATAGAGCAGATATACCTCGGTAAGAGTTAGTACCTTTGGGATTATAAGGGAATCCCAAGGACCATAAATAAAACTCTTTGTTCCACCTTGCACTTCCCTTAGGCCAGTTTTCAGAGATTAGCAGGCAGACAGCTCTTACCATCAATTGATCCCAGTTGCTCCATCGCAAAGTTTCACACTGAGCTGGTACTTTTAAAACAATACTTGTACCATCAAACTGTAAAACAACTTAAGACAGAAGCTGGAGTGGACTCCTGGTCCCACAGCAGTCAAAACTTACACTGCCCTTAGTAGGAAAAGGATCGCTCAGCTATACTTTCACATGTTTATTAATTATTGTGCAATAATGTAACTTTGAATCACCCGTCACCTACAGACACACTATGAGAGGAGAGTGCCTCTCCCTGTCGATTCCCTGCGCTAACTGCCCAGGCTTACTTACACGCAAGGATGTTGATGTATCTGTTCTTGTGCTTGTTGTCGGGGTGGTTGGAGTGCTCCGCAGTGATGTTCATGTCGGCTGTACAGCGCTGCACTTCCTAGGCACCAAAATTATTCAAAGGGAAAATCTGTCAGTCCAAAAATGAAGCTTTATCTCCTTTTGCAACAGCTCAGGGAAAATAGGTTTAAAATATCAATATCTTAATGGTTGGATTAATGGCTGGATTAAATTAAGTCTTTCAGTATTGCCTTGTAAGACACAGTCTGCTTAAAACAAGGGGGTATTAGCTGCTCTCTGGTGTCCAGTTATGCTCCTCTACATATCCTTGGTGGCAGATGCAGTTTGGGCACCCAGAGGGCCTCCCGTCCCCTCTGCCCAGCAGTCCCTCAGTCTCCTGGGCTCTATCCCCTTTCTACCCCCTTGGGAAGGGAACAGAGAGTCCATCAAAGGCAAGAGTGGCCACAACGCGGTATAAGAAATTAAGTACAAAAAACATTTCTACAGAAGACTTTTGACTGCTGGACAACTTATTTGCTCATAACCCCTTAAAATAGGGTTTCTGACATTTAAGTTTTGCATTGACCTTTTATTAGTTCTCTGCAGAGGGATGACTTTTATAAAATATAAATAAAATAGATCTGTGAAGATAACAGTGCTTTAAATACCACTGCTGGGACACCTATTAACAGCAAACGATTTAGTGAAAACGGTAAAAGGTTGTGTCCAGGTATATATATTGGAGCTACATACAATCAGACATTTACCCAGCTGAATAAGGCTGGGTGTTCAAGAAGCTAGAGATGCAGATATACGTCTAGCAGAGGAAGTAGGTGATATACCTAATTTCCATTGATTTTTCAGCTCTTGACCTATTTGCATCATCAAACAACTGAATACAGGGCTATACGTGGCAACAGAGTGTCTCTTCTTTGCCCTTGAGAGTAGCAGCTACTCCCCTTGGCCAAGTTCTCCTACAGTTACACACTTTGGAGACTGTCTTACAAACTAAGCAGTAAATATCAAGCACTATACCACTTCCAAAGAATTATTTTCTTGTATATATTTAAATACAATCTTTCTGAAAAAGCAAAAAGCTTTTTATCATTAGCGTAAATATTCTTAGTTTCAAAACAAATTTTGAAAAATATATTGATGTTTGCAGTTTACAAAGTTGTGGAAGAAGCTACATTTATCCAAACCTTTTGTGGGTTCCAGAAATCACACCAAATGGAACAAATTTCCCCCAAGGTTATATGGGGAGGTGCCAAATTACTTTGTACTTTGGGCTTTAAAAATAACAGTACACTACCTGCCTAAGAGGAAAAGTCATTAGAAGCTCACAGCTGCTACAAAGATCACGAGCTAAGTGACAGAGAAAAATTATCAAGAGAAATGCTATACAAACAGCAGATGTAACAGAGTTCAGCATTATGCAGACATTTCACAAAGGAGTTGCAAAGCAATTTTGATATCTTTCCCAGCATTTACATTTTAAAAGTGCAAAGTATACTGAAACCTTGAACATTTTATAGCTTTTATATCCACATAGCACCCCCAAACGAACATTTGCTTCTTGCTCTCTCCTCTCCATAGGGAGAAGCATACTGCAGTCAAGGGGATGAGCTGAGCAAAGACAAAGAAGAATCAGGCACACCTCTCTGCTGGCCCTAACAGAATTTTCACAGTTCCATTTCTATCACACACACGCACAAAAAACACATTAAAATGTGCGTTTCCCCTAATTCTGCCTGTCGGCTCCAGTAAACAAGGGACTTTGGATTATACAACGGGCAGGATCAGCTCAGCCTAAATTGCAAATGGGAAAATAGTGTTAGTTACATATTTGTATGATTTAATGTAACTTAGTTTTACTTTTTTGCATTTGGAAATCATGCACCATGATTCCTGTATTGTTGCAGGTCACTTCTAAAAAATAGCCCCCCCTTTCTGAAGAGCCCCATATCAAACACTACATCCCTCTATCACCACAAAATTATTTTTAGAACAGTTATTAGCATTGAAACATTTATGCCAAATGCTGTAGAATTTAATACAGATGAATCCAATAAGGTTCTGTGGAGAACACTCTCAACAGTTATAGAATTTAATAGGGAATTACATCCCTGCTAAGGAATTCTCTCTGACAAGTTTAAATACTACATAGTAAACGTATCACTTTCTATTAAATTCTATAGGATTTTTCCATAAGGGAATTGTTAGAGGGGTTAATCATTTTAATTAACCTTTTTATGTTGATGCTGACCGCTTTTTCAACTGTACGATGTTCCCAGCTGGCCAATATAAAGCTAATAGAAGAGGAAGATTAGGCTAAGATGGTGAAAAACATGGCAATGGAAAAGAAGGTCTTCTACCGTCAGAGGTGATCTTCTGAAAATGGCTTTTATTAAAAACTTAACATTATAAATGCATTTTAATACTCTTAAGAACTGCTAAAATGATGGAGTCCTACACCTGCACACTGCACAAGCATAGCAAGAGGAGACTCTTCAAGGAAAGCTTCCCCCTTTGCCAATGCACCTTCACTCTTTCTGTCTTTTTAAAAATCAACATAAACCAATAAAAGGACATTTTGATTTCAGGGCCACCCCGTCCAGGACACAATCAATGCTCTGTGATGCTGAGCTTGTCCAGTGAGAAGGGGACCGAGGACATCGTCTCACTTCATGCTGGCCACTGGTAACTTCTGGCCGTGCTGAACGGACAGATGGGCGGTGAACTGAGGTCAGTTATTCTCCTAGGTTCATCACTCCAGATGCTAACTGCAAATTACTAAACCACAGGCTCGCTACCCCAGACAGTAAGGCGTAAGTTAACATTCCTTTGTTATTAAAGTCAAAGTGGTTGTCTTTCATCAGTGCGCAAAATGCTGCAAGAAGACAAGACTAGTTGCAGCCTGTTATCTATGCCTGCTTTTAGAGCGTTATTTACCCTTTGGCAGAACAGGATGGCCTGGTGTTAATAAATAGCAGCCCGGAGAAAGTTCCCAAAAGTCACCTGCCTAATTATGCCTTTTTACCACATTATATATTATTACATATTTACTTTCCCAACATTTTCTAACGCTAATGCAATTAACACCCTAGGATTTCTAAATCTTACTGCTTACCAAGTCATTCCTTTGCATTTAAAACATCATCATGATTACACTACTATTACAACTTAACTCTGCAGGCAGGCCACCAGGTCAGCTCTGGTGCCCGGGCTACTTGCTGCAACCTAAACAAAGTATTCTCAATTAACACGAAATTGCTACTGGCACCTGGGCGTAAAAGGACAGCTACTCCCCTTATCACCGTATCTGTAATTCATCCAGTCATATCAGACAAACTTTTCCATTCCAGAGTCTTTTCTTCTGCTTTCTTTAATCCTTTTAGTCTTTTCAGCTGATTTTAACGGTGGCTGGCTAGCGTGCTGCTGCTCCTTATGTTTAACTTCGCAGAACACATAACTGTCCAAAGATGAATGGATACAGGCTCTTGTTCTGTCCTTTCAACTTATCATTGACAACCCAAGAAGCCAATGTACATGGTTTCAATTGACCATTAGTTACTGTAAAAAGTGTTCTAGTCCTTGCTATTATGGCCAATTTACCTTTTAATTATATTGTCCATGCTAATGCTAATTGGAATTTGATACACCCAGGTTTAACAACCCATTTTCATTGCCTTCCTGAAACAAGTTACAGATTAGTTTTTCCTAAACTTCAAAGAATTTCCATTAAGGTGTAAAATCAAACTGCTCCAGCGTCTTGCTGGCAATGTAAGGTTGCGAGCAAGAAATGTTGCTGCTACAGTGACTGAGCAGGAACTCAGTCTCTTGATTCGGCCTTATGCAGCGCTGCTGTTGTTTCCCATTACCGCTGTCAGTAGACGTCCTAGCAGGGGCTGAACTGTAAAAGCCTATGAATAGCAATAAGGAGGAATCGTGAACAAAGAAAGGATCCTAATTTGAAGGACTAAATTAGAGAAGAGCCATAGCTACGTTTTGATCTTATTGTAGTATTTTTCAGCATGAAAGCAGCTAGTGCATCCACCCCTAAGATCACTCCTGATCTATTAGTTTAAACCCAAATGAGAGAATTCTGCGGTTGTGCTCTTGCTATTTGTTCTGCAAACATGAAGATGGCATACCAACAGAGACAGCAAATAGCATTTGAAGATCTCCCACAGGAGCGGTGCAGATTTTTGTAATAATTTAGCACTAGTATAAACCCTCTGATGGCACTCAGGAGAAAGGTTGGTGGGGAGACCCTAGACAGAAGGAGAAAATAAACAAGCCGAAAGGACTGAACACAGCAATAGCAGTGGAGGAATCATGAATAGGTGGTTAAAAATTCATGCAGGTGTGAGCAATTCAGAACCCCTGAGCTGTGCACAGAGCTAACCTGTACACCCAAGTGATGTCTACACACGTGAGAGAGCAGAGGATGGTGGAGTAATGTTTGCTTGCTGTATCCTACCCTTGGCTGCACAGAGAAGCACCAACGTCAGAATGAAACCATGCATTCCTCATGTGGGGCTATGGCCCTTTGGAGCGGGGCTTCCAGGCAGAAAATTTAGGAACTGCTGTTGAGTTGTAATTAGTAACAGAAAGCCCAAACAGCTGAGTCTCTTTAACTGCTTCTCCCCAACTTCATCTGTTCATTCACAGTACCAATTTCTTAGGGTAGGTCAAACAGCAAGATAAGAATACAAAACTCCAGGAAGATCCTCTTCTGGTGCAGAAGAAGAAGCTGGAAATCCTTCATCTTTCAGCTTCTCAGTGCTGCTTCCCTTTGGTTTCAGTACAGCAACACACAGGCTGAGAATTCCTCTAATTATGGCAATTTGGGGCCAGGGTTATAAAACTTTTCCCAGTGCAGTCTCCAAGCGGCATGCGTTTGAAACAGCATCTTCCCACTGCCAAATTTCTTGGGGTAGAAACGTTACAAGCATGTTTCTGCTGTAAGCTGTGTGCAATGTAAATGGGATGCCAGTATAACTACACAGTGTTTTTAGACTTAACAAACGGGCAAAGCAGAGCGCTATCTCAGTCTTCAGTGCTGCCCTTCACTAGAGAATAACATTCTGAGGCCACTGGTTAAACAGAGCTAGTGACCCCCGCCCCAAGCAGCGACAGTCATGAGAGTAACGTTAGCAAATCCCTGCCACATCACTGAAGATACGGATTTATGTTATTTTTTTACATGTCAGGAAATTTAGAAGAAGGTGCCACCGGAGTATAAAGATATTTTCAATATAGGTGATGAGGGAGCTAGACAGCCTGCCTCCAAGTTCAGCGAGCCTGTGCAGACTCCAAATTGGCAATGAATCATTACGCTCAGCCACAGGCAGCAGGGAGGTCCGCGGAGATTACATTCACCCACTCTAATCTCTCTAGCAGCAGCACTGACCAACCCACTCCAGAATTGGAGAGGAGGTAAATAAAATTGTCTGGTCTCTGAAGTCCAAATGCCGCATTATAGTATAGAAACTCACAGCTAGCTTTGGGGGGTGATTTCTTGCCTTAATCTTCCCTTCTTAGAGGGAAAGGCAAGAACTGTGCTCACAAAATTTACTGTTTTATTTCAGTAACAGGCCAGACCAAGGAGGGAGTGAAAAAAAATGGCCACAGGAGGACACACTTCGCACTCTTGTTGATATAAGAATTTGGAGGGCGAATGCCCTATATCATCAGGCTGAGCACCAGGAGGAACAGAGGATGGCAAATGTGACATCAGTTTTTAAAAAAGAGATCCAGAAGGGATTGCAGGCGCTACAGCCCACTAAATCTGACTTCTCTATGGGGCTAACTGCCAGAAGCTGTAATGAAGAGCGGAGCTAGCGAGCACCTCCAACACTGTGTGGAGAGGTCCCTGAAGAAGGCCATAGACAGGACAGTCTGCAATAGAACAGTATATTTGGATTTCCAAAATGTGTTTGAAAAGGTCTCTCACAAAACGTTTCTTAAAAAAAATGATCTGTCGTGGAGCAAAAGGAAAAGTCCGCTTTTGTCTTAGAGATGTTGAAGACGGGACTCTCAACCCAGGAATCGTCAGTGTTAGATTTTACTCGCGAAACTTTACACAGAGCTGTTCTATTCCTAAACGGACTACGAAGGAGACAAAATGTGTTTATAATACAAAATTATTCAGGATAATTAGAACAAAAGCTGTTTGTGAAGGGAAGCAGAACGTTCTCACAGTACTGAGTGGCTGAGTGATAAAATGGCAAATGAAATTCAATGTTGATAAATGCAAAGTGATGTACTTGGGAAAAACAACCCTAACTATACATACACACTGACAGGTTCTCAATTTGCTATTGTCATTCAGCGAAGAGACCTTGGGGTCACAGCTGATAGTTTTCTGGAGGTGTTGGCTGAGTGCTCAGCGGTTGTTAAAAAAAACAAATAGTATGTTAGAAAGGAGGAAAGTAATAGAAAACCAATCAGAAAGCATCACTATGCCCCTGCATAACTCTGCAGTAAACCCACCCATTAAATACCGTGCACAGTTCTGGCCTTCCCATCTCAAAAAGGATACGGTAGGTAAAGTTAGGGGAAAAAAAGTGCAGAGGGAACAAGTGATCTGAAGCCTGGAATGACTTCCTCAAATAAACAGATTAAATAGTTCAGAATTCTTCAGTTTTGAAGAGAGACGATTAAGGGGGGATACGAGGGATGTACACAAAACCACGCGTGGCATTTAGAAGGTGAATAGGGATGTACTTGGTAATGCAAAAACGAGGAGGCGCTGAAAGACGCTGTTAGGCATGAATTAAAACCAAAAGGAAGTCTGTTCTTGTGGAGCAAGTCGTAGCACTCATTGCCCTGGGATGTTTTGGACACCAGAAGTCTACAAGGGTTCAAAAAGCAATAAGAAATTTGCGGAAGAAAAGTTTATCAAAGACTGTTAAACATAACGATGCTACTACAATGTCTGGCCAGACATAATCTCTGACTCAGGAAGCCTCTCAACCTCTGCACAGCCTTGCCACCGCGCACACTGGGGAAATGGGCCACCAAACCCCAGCCTAGGCATGCGCTGTAAAGACGTGGCACATCACCTCGTCTGCCACAAAAAAGGAGGGCTGGAGCTGTCTGCGAGAGCAATCCAAAAAGCTCCTTGAACTTTTACCGTTATTAGGCTGACTGAATTCGAAGTTGTAATTCAAAGAGTTAGATCAGAAACCAGCACTGACAACCCATGATTGTGGACTTTATTTCAAAAAGCTGTTGGTTGTTCAGTATTAAATTGGGCCTTACCTTTCTAGTTTACATCCAATATTGAAAATTCAATTGGACTCAAAGGAAACCTTAACAATTCTGTACATACAAGAAAGCCTAGCCATCACCAGACAATAAAGCTGGCTACTCGCATTATGATTCCCCAAAGGGAGTGAGGATTCCTTTTGGGTGTACTTCCCAAGGAAAAATTTGTGAGTTCAAAGTCCTTTTTTCCCTCTGTACATAAAACGCTTCCTAAGCACATTCACAAAATATTTAGCTGTAATTACAGCTCATTTTAAGGGGAGGAGGGAGGCAGTAGTCATACAATTCATTTTCAAAGGAATCTTCTTCACGTAAAACACAACTCAGTCCAACCCGCAACATGCTGCCAAAAACACAGGAAGAAACATACGCCCAAAACTAGCAACAAACAAATGGACAATTTTTACCTTCTACATAGGGCAGATTATGTTTGTTCCTAGCTTACTCTTTCCTTTCAGAGATTCCACCATAAAACTTCCTGCTACAGAAGCCTTTGAAGACATTTTGGATCCTTTTTTCATTAAAAAAACAAAAAACAAAAATGCCATGTGCTCGCTATCTTTGGGAAGATTTATTTATCCTATACTATTGCTCAATTTTTTTCAGCATCTCCTTGTCGTTCTCTTCTCCTTTTAGATTTAAAAAGTGGATTTTTTTAAAAAAAAGCCTGCACGGCTTCAGAACTTGGGAGCCCCTTCAGAAGTTCCTTGGTAGGAAGGGCTTGGAGGGGGATCGCTGACCCCGTGCGAGCGTGTCGTGCGCGTGCGCTGCCCAGTCCCTCGGTAGGACACGCGCGATCCGTACCAGGCATCAGCACACCATCCCATTCCTGTTAAACCAGCAAGACCTCACGACGAGGAGCCCGTGCTGCTTTTATGCTACCACGTGCAAGAACGGGAACAGCTGTCCTGGCAGAAAGTCAGCGTGGTGCGGGCAGACAAAACCTCAACCAGGATAAAGTCTGCTGGTACCGCAGAAACCTGCTAACATACTTTTAAACAAATTTGGATGTGCAGTATGAAGTTGCACCCACTCTGCGCTCCGAATGAGGTACCTGTGGTATTTTTCATCTCAGGCTAGCAGCCCTGTAACACCGGATTTTCTGTTTCAGCTGGAATCCCACTGCTTTTACCTAAAACACTAGCTAAGTTTCACTGTATCCGGCAGATACGATTCCGGTATGTACACCACAGCTGGGCCCACTGCTAGCCGCTTCTAACAGCTGCTCTATAAACGTAACCTCCGGCTCCTATATCCCTCAGCCACTTTCAAAATTAGGATCCTGATTTCTGAGTCCATTTAGGCACTTGAGAAAAAATTTACCTACAGGGTGTGTGGAAAATCTCAGCTTCACTCTCCCCATCGCTGTGAACCATGAGGGAGAAGAAAATCGAGCCCACAAGGTGCCAGCAAGGCAGACCGTGCGCAACAAGAGGGAGCTAGATGGTTTTGCTCCTATTCCTTCTCCTTACACTAGGAGAAGGAGATGTCATTTAGTCTTTAGGAAGCTGATAACTCAGCTACAGAGAAATATATCTGGAGTAGCTATACTGTCTTCAAAGGAGACACTCCAAATTTTAAGCCAGCAGGAGAACCGAATCTGGTGTGCAAGTGCAGTTGGAGGAGGTTAACTTTCCTTCAGAGGGGACCGCGGACTCCTCAGAAGGGAACTAATTGGCTAAAACAATCTCTCCCGACTAGCCGCCACGGTGTGGCAGTCACAGTAGGGAGCTCCAGAAAGAAAGGAAAAATAGGGCTATTAGAGTAGCGTTTTTCTTTGCTAAAACATGGGCAGAAGGTGTCCAACATTTGTTAATAGCAGTGATTTTGCGACAGCTGAAGCACAGCCTGCTTAAAGCCAGACCAAGTTTACAGATGTGTTGCTGATTATTTTGAATAATTAAATGGTGTAAAACCCAGCTGTGATGAATAGCACCAGGGTCACAATTCATAAATAATTGAGAAGAGTGAGTCGCATTTGATCATCCTGATCAAATTCTGCTCTCTGGGGAATAAATGTTTGTCCTGAATACCATCAACATTGTTAAATGCCTCAATATTCCTGCTCAGCCATCCAGCCAGCAGTCAATTGAACTAAATCACTTTAACACCTTACACATTTGCCTTCCTCATGAATACAAAATGTTTCTAACTTACACAATGGTTTTCGGGCATCAAACAAAGCAGCTACTCTTTATAGACAGTAACCAAACAGCATCAATAAATGTTTTAAATGATCCCATTAAAAACAATTCCTGCACGCAGTCTTGTCTTTACTGCAGTAAGCGAAGAAGCTGTAGCTATTTGGCCACCTATTTTCTCTCATTGCCTTGCTTGTAAGCAGAGCTGCCCGTGTGATTCACCCACATAACGCAAGCGCACCTCCTTTCGCTGGTGGGGAAGCCAGTACCACGGCTCCCTACGGTTTGCTGCGGTTCCGTCTGCTTGTCAATACTCCCAAAAGTTCAGCTCTGACCGTGATTAGGCGGACTGAAAGAAATGCCTAAAAGCTAGCCAAGGAATACTGGCTTGTGTACCTCTTAAAGGCATTAACTATTTCTAATAGAAGGCTACCTTAGACCCATGCTCTGTGATGGTTAGAAACCACCTATAACTGTCCAGTCTCAGTCTACTTATATCTGGTAGCAAATTGGTATTTCCCTTTTTCTTCTGATACACTGAAGCATCGCATTTACCTCTGTCATGACAGCATCACACAGATGTCACACAGCCCCTTACTATCAATATGCAATTAACTTTAGGAAAACACCATTTTACCAGTGGATCATTACATCATACCTCAAAGTCTTCTGAGAACCCATGCTGGTTATTAGAATACAGCTCACTGATGTGTTTAACGAACTGCTTGACTGGAATTGCTTCCATATCATCTGTGGAAAGAAAGAGATACTCAGAGTTGTTATTTGTCTCAGAAGTAAAATTTCAAGATCTACGCTATCATCTAAAAACTGCAGAGAGAAAGCATTCACTCATTATCACCTAGATCTGAGTTCCTAGGGGCAGAGCTCGTTCAATATGCAGTAATAAAAAATCTTGATGAACCTGGCCAATACTGAGGTAAACTCTTCACATTATTTTTCTATTTCTAAGCATTGCAAAGATAGATACTGGGGATCTGTTCCCTGCGATGCCTATTTACAAGTCCAATAGAAGGTCAAGGATCATCTAGTTCATATACAGTTTGAAGACAGCGGTGGATGGGATCAAGGGGCCCTCTCCCCTTACCCATCATGTAACAAAAGCAGAATAGACACGAAATATGAAAGTACAGTTGACAAGTGCCTCCATTAAGTTTTTACCAGACGAAGCAGAGACACAGCCTTCTCTCCTGGAACAGAGAAATTACAGACTTTTTCCTTTTTATACAATAATGCAGTATCCAAATGAACTTATCATGCAACCGTCTCTGCGCAAAAGACCAACAGGCAACACAACACCCCCACTAATGTGAGTTTTCTCTCATGCCAGACACTATGCATAACATTGAATATGCATTCCACTGGACCATTTGTTCTTGCTCAGCATAGTGCAAATTCTACTCAATATACCCATAAATCATCCACAAACATCTTCTCAAAAGAAAGGACTCAAAGGCTTGAACTGAATTAAAGACAACCAAGACTGTTTCAAGCACCTGGAACTCTGGGTAGTTTCTATTAGAAGTGGGGTGCAGGAATATTGTCTTACTTCTTCCTGTCTCAGAAAAAGAAGTCTAGATGTTGTTATAACCACCAAGATGTTGTTATAACCACCCCTGCAGTTGGTGAAAACACTGCTTGCCAACATTCATTAGTTAATATTTTCAGTCTGGCATTTAGAAAACGTAAATTGCTATACAATTGTGATTACTTTCAGCATGTGAAATAATCTACTGCCTGATGGCTACTATTGTCTGATAGCATGATTTTATGGCAATATTCTGGTATTTATGTATCCCATTTAATATTCTTCTGAAGATCGCATGCAGTTTATGTTTACTCCCAGTAATTTAGTGGTGTATTTCTGCTCCCATTTAGCAGCCATATGGTTTGGTGCTACAGCTGCATTATAATCTGGATTCTTCTCCTTTTAAACACGTACATTATGATAGAAAAAAATCCAAATATTTCTACAGATACTTAGCAAAATTTAACAATAAATAAATAGATGTGACATTTACTGTATTCAGAGTGAAAGATCTTTGGCAGCTAAAACCTCTAAGCTGTCACATATGCTTTTATTAGCAAAGGGTATGAAGATCTGTATGTGTAAATGAGGCTCTACTTTGGCAAGAATTTTATAGATCCAGCCCTGACAATCTGATCTCTCTCCAGCTGATGGCTGTTAATATTGACCATGTCATTACTTCTCTACTCTTATTTTACCAGGTAACGCTCCAGGGTGGCTTTTTGCATCTATCGACATTTTCAGATTTCAATCAGCTTCCTTCTATTTTATTTACAAGAGGCAATTGTTGAAGATATGTTTGCAATCTGATCACCTCCCAGTATAGTAATGCTACTTTAATTAGCCACATGCTCGTTTATTGAATAATAAAGAATTCCAAACATTTGACAAGTGTATGCTCATTTTAGCAAAAAGCTGCAGCCTGCAGAAATGCTGGCACTCTACAACATTTAAGTGCTAACATTTATTCTATGTAATATTGAGAACATAATCATCTCAAAACAACATACGTATTAATATCTTTGCAGCCAAGACACTTGAATGGAATGATCTCTATGAACAGCAGTCAATAGCAGGAGTCTGTAAAACAGTCTTTCCTCTCCTGAAAAGTAACCCAAATATCCTTAATTTCCTTGAAAATAACTTATGCTACGATAGCAAATTCACATACTGTCACAAGAACAGTTTCAGAGCTGTTATTTGTTTTTCTTTCTTGAGTAGAGTCTAGCTCAGCTGAGACCAACTGAGATCAGGGACTCACTGCAGCAGACCACAGTGTCCAATTTAATTTTGCAGAAGGCAGGATTTAATTTTAATTGTGATCTGTGAGCCAAGAAATACATTAAAAACAACGTACTCTCCAGTCCATTGAGCTCCCACCAATTTCAAGGATGGGTCTGCACCAGAGATCCATGGCAAAATATGGTTAGTTTTCTTTCATCATCATCACTGCATGGTGGCAGAATCTCTCTACCTTTATAGCCACTGCTAATTCTCCTCTCCATTGTTCACTGTCCTTTATCTTTTCTCCTCCTCTTCCTCCTCCTCTTCTGCATTTTCTCCTTTACAGCCACTTTCAATTCCCTTCAGAAGCCTTAACCCCATGCAGCTTCTTGCCCTATTTGACAACAGGGCAACGATTAAACAGCAAATAAATTAAACAGCAAATAATGTTGACATACAGGCTCACTGGGAGAAAGGCGCTTATGCTGCAGAAGCTGCCTATAAACTCAGGAAAACCACGCTGGAGCAAGTATAATTATTTGGTCTTTGGAAGATTAACAGCAGAACCACAAAAGTTAGAAACTGAATCAATGCTTGTGTTCTTCAGCTTTCAAATTGCTGGGATAACATGGTCCTACTGACTGTGCGAGATCAGGCAGGCGCAGCGCAGAAGCCAGGAGGAGGCACCCCCTCGAGGGACGCAGGCGGCCGAGGACGGGCCACCTGCACCCGGCAGCACGTTGCTCCTTCCCCAGCTGATCCGTCTGCCCCTCTCCTGACAGTCACGGGGGAGAAGTGGCACATAACGTGTAGTCTATTACACTGGCCAAGGGAACAGAAATACATTAAGGTAATTTGGGCCTGTATTTTTCTAGCTGTGACCCCCCCCAACCCCAAACTCCTAGCCGGATTGACAAATTACTCTAGCTGAGGTGCATGTGTGTTTAGCCACGGCAGCTTATTGGATCTCAGCTGAAATATCTACTAACATACTCAGCACTCTTGGATGGTATCGGCTCTGACGGTATCTGAAGATAACCTTAACCCTCTCTGAGAAAACCAATAGATGTTGCTAGAAGCACAGAATATGCTTTTCCTTGCAGAATATGCAGTCCAAAGGCTTTGGTTAAGCCTCTCTTCCATCTGAAGACAAACGGACTTCAATGACTATAATTCTTTTAGTCGATTGAAGAGATTAATGGAATCCTCTAATGGCTAATTAGGAGCTCTAACAGTTGTTCAGTGCTTATTCCCTTTTGCACCACACACTCTCTCCCATCCAGCAACCAGAGTGACATTTGATATTGTTACATTTTGTGAGACCTACTCATTATTCAAAGGGAACAGGGAAATGTTTTAATAACATACCTTCACCTGTAACACCGCAGAAATAATTACAGTTCTGTCTAGTCTGGGTTTAGCCATCTGTTAGACAAGCGCAAATAAAGTGATTCTGGATTTACGTCACTACAAAATAGGAGCTAATTCTGGCACCATAGAAATATACTAACCTTTTGTGTTATGTAGAGAAAGAAGTAACAATAGGTGGACGGGGCAAAAGTCTCCAGGACACCAGTATTTATAACCAGAGGTTACTGAAGCTGACAGGTGGGAATACCTTTTCATTACTATGCCAGATATTCAAAATTTAGGTGCAGTTCAGATGTTCACTTGCTAGTCCAAGGGAAGTGGCCAGGAGGAGTAACAACAGCACAGTGCTGAAGGGGAGCGTAACGCCAGCCACTTCCTGCCACAAAGGGAAAATACCAACAGCATAGTCATGTTTTAAAAAAAAGAAGTGAAAAACCTTCACTTGTACCTCATTTTCCATGAAATGGCAACAGAGGAATGATGTAGAACGCATAACGCATTCTTTCAGAAGGCAACCACCTTCAAAACAAGCCTAAAGCATGTAGAAGCAATAAAGTTAGCACAGGGCTATATTTAATAAGTTTGGATAATTAGCAATCCTACCTGGAAGGATTTCCCCCTATTTCCTACTCAGTAAGCTGCCTCTGTAATGTTAAAGCAATTGGGCCCAATTTCAAGAGAAAAATGGGATATCATATCGGAGATGGCACTTCCACACAGTAAGATCTCAGATTTATTTTGATTCATTTATAGTCTAAGAGCTCACTGGATGCTTTAGCGGTATTGGATTAGAATAGAAGGATTTGGGGCAGGAATTAATCCAGAAGGTCAAAAACCGAAGTGCTCCTTCATGTTACCTTTGTCCAGTTTGGAGTTGTGGTGTTTCTGAAGACCAGACATTTGACACACATACAGAAGCCTTGACAAGAAGATTCACCCATGCTTTTCATTCTGTTTATAAATGCTTCCCATTTTCAGCTATTATCTTACTAACCTACTAAAATCTAATGTCTTCTCTGTATCTTATGCCTTACTTTTAATGTGAAAGCTTATTCCATTTGTTTGTGACTGCACTTCAGTCCCTCGTCTGGAAGACCACCTGGATTCACATGCCGTGGCCCGTCTGCTCGAACGGCAGCCACATACTCACTGCACCGTTCAGCAACCTTGTGCCACTCCTTGCATCTCCGAAGCACCCCCGTCCATTTTCAGTGTGCTATTCACAGGCGGCTTAAGCCAAAGGACAAGGGGCTTCCGCCCGCTCCCTCTTTCCCGCCTGCGTGGCTGAGCAGTGAACCGAATCAGCTTGCTGATCTGTCTAATGAATATAGAAAATGATTAGCTGATTTCCGGGAGAGGGAAAGAAGGATTAGCTGTCAATCGGACAGATGGGTTGATCCTCCTCATTGCCACGAGAAGCGATGAAGCGACAAGGGAGACTGCCCTTTCTGACGGCAGGACAAACCTAAATTGGCTTACGCCAATCATGAAACCACCATTAGCAACATTAATCCTGCAGCATCCGCTCTCGACAGTATGTCCTCACAGTTTTCATCTTCAGCAAAAAAGTTTTCCTGAGACTGGAAAGAAATATCCTCCAGCAGGCTCA